GAGAAGAGTGATCAAGCAAGATATTGTCCAGTAATTCAGGGTGATAATACCCCATTGACCCAGAGATTGAGGTTGGGGGAAGGGGATTACCACCTGCTCTGCCCCATAGGTCATAAATCTTCAGGGGGAAGAACTGCATCTTGCTGTTAAGCACCAGACCAGAGTTATGTTTAACCACTAGCTCCTGCCTCTTGACCACTTTTAGGATGGAGTGTTCCTCTGCTGGAGGAAGCCTCTCATTATTGGCACCCCTTTCATAAACACGTAGCATTGTCATTTTGTCTAAGGAGAGGGTGGTGAAAGTTACCTCATCAGCAGTCTGTTGAGGGATTGGTAGATTATCCTCCACTTTGTCAGGTACTTCAGAAGCACACTCAGGTGCTGTTGTCACTAGAGAAAAACCAGAGTTTAGTTTCTTAATTGGTCAATGTTGCTACTGCCATATGTACAGAACCTGGCTCACAACTGTAATGAGAGCTCCAGTTCTCCAACATGTTCAGGCAGCAATAGTTCTGGGTTGTAGGTGCTGCACACAGGGCCGGCTCTAGCTTTTTTGCTGCCCCACGGAGGGCGGGGGTGGGGGGGAGAAGAGAGAAAAGCAGCTGCAGGGAGCGCATCGAGGGTGGTCAAGGCAGCTTGCAGGGGGCAAGCACCCGCCCACTCCCTCAGCCCATGGGCAGCCCTCTGGCCTGGGGGTGCCTCTCCTGGCCAGGCAGAGGGAGCCCCTGGGGGCTGCAGAAGGTGCTGGCTCAGCCGCTCCTTTAAAGGTGGCTCGGCCAGGCTCAGAGCAGTGCAGGAGGCAGAGGCGGCGAGTGGCGCATCCCGGGAGTGGCGGGCATTGCTAGTTCATGCCCCTGCAGGGCTGGGCTGGCTGCCCCAAAATTGGCCAGAATCCTGCCCCTTACAATGTGCCATCCCAGGCACGTTGTTTCTCATCTGGTGCCTGGAACTGGCCCTGGCTGCACATTTACACTTACAGTGATTCGAAACCTTCAGGGGAAGGTTATTTCCCCCTTCCTTCCCCATGCAAGGTGGTTCCCTCCCCCTCCCCCAAGTTATGAACTTTCTTTGGTAAAAATTTTCCATGAAAAATAGTGTCCCTTCAATAGTTCATAGTTCCAGGTTTCCTCCCATGCATCTTAATTCAGTTACCCAATCAAGATAGTTATGACTGGCATCTGAATACTTTCTCCTCCTATCTATACTTACAGCAGAATTGTCTCTTGCCCAAGCATTCTAGGCATTACTTTCCAGGCTCCCTCTCCAAGAGGAAGGTTTTTATGTTCTGAATAAAGTGCAATGATCTCACTCCATAGTCTTACAGCTCTGAAGCTTTTTGATCAAATGTTTAACATCCCTCTGGAAGGCACCAAGAAGTTTTCGCAATGTCTTGGCTGCGATAAGTCCAACTAACTGTTCTCATGAAGGAAGCAAGTTAGGGAGTGGCTATTGCTGGTGAGCTATTGCCGGATGTGAAGACAAGTTTAACAGTTGTAATCAGTTTGCAGTGTTGTTGTAGCCATATTGGTCCAGAGATTAGACAAGGTGGGTGAGGTAATCTTTTGTTGGACCAACTTCTGGTGGTGACAGACTAGATTCTGAGCCTCTCTACTTGCAGAATGAGGAGATCTCCTCATTCTGCAATTCGGTACCTTTCAAAGGGTGTTGCTCCTTAAATGGAAAGAGCTTACCACCGATCTCACTTCCTGGCTACAGTCAAGGAGGGTGCAGGTTCAGCAATAGCAATTAGTGTAAACAAAGCCCTTTGTTAGCCTCTAGCAGATGTTAGTTTACATGCATGGGCTACTGTATTATTCCTATATAGTCACACCACCCTCACTGACAGCTTCTCCTCCAGTACTGAAGGCATACTGATCTTCATGGACCTGAGTTTTAGAGATGGAAGCTTCCTGACAGGGTGTCAAGATCCTACTGTTGAGAAATCGTACCATACTAACAGAAAGGTCTGCATATATGCTTTACTCACCCTCAGGTTCAAGTTTAGTTACAACTGGCTGTGCACTGCTAACTGCAACACTGGTTATGGACGTCACTCCCTTCTCTGCCATGTCACAGATGGACCTCACATAGGGATGGCTCTCCTTGGTGGAAGCGTAGGCAGTGGCAGCCAGATCACAGGCAGAGTTGACTAAAGGTAGGCTGGCCACCCTCCTCAAGACATTCTAGTGAGGCAAGGGACAGAACAGTGAGTCAGGAAGGCAATGTTCTATACTGGAGCTGAACCATTACTTTTTCCAAGTGGTTATACCCTTGGATGTGTTAGGCCCTAATCAAAGGATTGTTTAATGGTCAAAAATCTGAAGAGCTAAGAGGCCCAACAGCTGCTTCTGAAGTTAGAGTACTGGATCACAAGGTTAACTAAAGCAAGAAGCATTTTTAAATATTATAAACTAAGCTATTTTGCAGCATCTGGAAGAGCAACTGCACAAATCTCTAGACATTGAGGTGTGCATAT